CAATTCAATTTAGATTAGTGTGTACGCCGTACATGCCAAGGAAAATGCGTGTTTATTGGTACTTGACTTGCTTCAATATCCGAATTAGGAATAAAAAAAAGGGTGACAAAATAAAATCAGTGATCAAGATTCATAACTTAAAAAACAATTTCTGCAGGATTTATAAAGTAGAATCCATATCAGAAATATCAGATAAGCAAAGCCTGTTTTAGTAAATAAACATCCGATCACGAATAAAAAAAGAACTTTGGAAAAATTTCCTGCGTACTAGAAAAAATTACTCTTCGAAAAAGAAACATCTTTTTTTTTTGTGTGTTACCGATTACGTTAACGTTAGCATCCGATTCGGTCATCTAGAAGCACATGTATATAAATTATTCCTTTTAACGTAACTCGAATTCAGCACACATATCTCACAGCATATTATTCACTGAGTTAATCAAGATTCAAAGATTCTGGAATGTTTTCTCCGGTGTTACTGTGGTATAATACGTAGCGGATAATATGAACGGATAACCCGAAATAGCATGCATGCATATATATATATATATAGTAAACAGTCGTGCGTGCGGCACAGTTTGTACACTTTCTAAATTAGGAAGCCGCAGCGGGCTCGAATAATGCTGTGGTCAGGATCACATGATGCTTCTAAATGTCGATCAAATAAACCGTAGGTATTGAGAACTGACAAAAATTAATGACGACCATCAATAAGACATTATATATAATTTATTTGCACAAATATTTCAGAGCCCTCGGTGGATACCAAGAATTTCCGGGCGCTTATAATTCATAAAACATATTCTTACCAATCTATACTACTTATAGATGATACTTTTTTGGTTAAGCGAATTAACAATTTATCCGTGATATGTAGATCTTTACATTTTGAAAACTTTGAACAATGGGATCTGCATGCATAAACCAACGAATTTTCTCGAAGCCTAAAAAAACAAGCTACTTTATAGTAGCGCGTACGAAAAAGCCACAGACAAATGTGTCTAACGCTGAATATCAAAAGGAATATTACATACAGGAGTGTATTATACAGTTGATAGAAATCCCATTAGTAATAAGATTTGAGGATCGTCACATGTGTGATGCATGGTGTAAATAATTTGATATTACATTTAGTAAATATATTTGCGGAGATATGACACGTCATTCGGATATTGAATATCTGTTGTGAAGAAAACTTTACCGATTTTATTTTGGCTAACTTTACACCTATGAAAATTTTTCTCAGAGCATTGATCCAATGACAGGGCCTATAGAGTTATAAAAGGATTAATTTTAGCGGAAATAGAATCATTTGAACCCATGACATTCCTACTGCTTTTTTGTTGTTTAATGATCATATATAGTACAAAAAAACGACTGTTTATAGTATTTAAATATTAAATTAAGTGCTTTAAAGAATCAGGTGATGAGACGCCAACTCAAAATTTTTTAGTACACAATATTTTTTTTTTGAAAAAAAAAAAAAGCTTACGTGTGTACTTTATTGGAAAGATGCATCTATTGCTTCAAATTTAACTTTTTATCTTTCAATGAACAATGCTTTCGTTAGTCATGGTTATTCAATTCAATTTAGATTAGTGTGTACGCCGTACATGCCAAGGAAAATGCGTGTTTATTGGTACTTGACTTGCTTCAATTATTTGTTTGATATGTTAAATAAACCCTATTTCAATTATGGTTTAACCTAACTAACTTTATTGGGTAACGGCTGGCTTTTATTGGCGATTCCCTTCGCGATAAAATATGACACAATTGCGCAGAGGATTCCCCAACAAAAATTGTACAGACATCTATTTCTCTTATAATATACATATATCATATAAAATGTCTTAATCTTATGTACCAGTGATGATCGCATATGCTTATAGTGTTAGAGAGTTTTCCGTTGAACAAATCACTGAAAAGAATAACACTGCTGTTTATATTAAATTTATTCGGTATGTATAATACAAATAGATAGTACCTTAGTATCGACTGGTGTTGCATATAGGGAGGTAAGCACATTAATAAATGTAATCTAATATAAAAATATATAAAAAACGTTCCAATAGAATCTTCCTTTTTTTTTTTTTGCTTAAAAAAAATTTTTTTTTATGATAACTTTAAACAAAAAAGGAAATTTTCTATTTTTAGTGTACATAGCTTTATTCATATCTACAAAAAAAAGAAAGAAGAAAAGAAGAAAGAAACGAGAAGAGAAGCCAATGGCGAATTGTGTCAAACTTTACTGCGTAATAAAAATTAGGATGAAGTTGTTTCCTTAATGGCAGAAAAGTCTCCAAGGCATTTATACTAGATGAATAGAGAAAAGGGGAACCCCCATGGCTTCACTGAAAGTTCGGTAAGGATGTGTGCTGTGACTACTGAGCTCCTTGTGCCAATTGTTCATTAATTGATGATATGTCAGTATCAAAAGCTTTCGATCTGTTTGTCCAGTAGGCCCACTCCCTCGTTGAAATTCAGGGCGTTCATTTGATGATAAATTTATGCTTCCTCTGGATGGTATGTCGTGTCCAGCACCATAAATTTCCAAAGGATTTTCGTTATTATTGTTAGACGACGATAGAGCATAAGTGGAATTGTTGGTTTGAATGTTATTGCTCGAGGTGGATAAGGATGGATCGGATGGCGATTGCCAAGAAGAAGGAACTTGCCAAGTGTCTCCAGGCTGCGCAGTATATGGCTTTGAAGCATCTTCGAACAAAAGATAGGAAGGAATGGGTAGCTGCTGTTTCTTTCGATGTCGACGTTTTTGTTTTGCCGGCCAAATCTCTTTGTATCTTTTTTTTGCAGCTTCGGCAAGACGTTTATATTCTTCTTTAACACCCTCAGGCTCCTTTTTCCATGATTCAGAGACTATCGGAGAAATTTGTGTCATCTGAAGATTAATGCCTCTCGAATGCAACTCCCTGACGTAAGCCTTCCGATAAATCATAAATGCATTGGAAGCTTTGGAGGGCTTTTCGCCGTTAGGTCTGGAGATGATTAAATCCTCAACACTAATGGTCGGTGGAAATGGGGGCCTAATGGGAAGTAATTGTTTGGGTGGAGAATATTCTTGTTGTGTACCCTCGACGGGCGTGGGTGTCTCGACAGATTTTGGGGAACTGGAAACATTTTTTTCCATAACTTTGAAGTCTAGAATGCATCAGAATACTTTTTTTGATTTCTGCCTCCTTTATATTATTTTTCACGCTGCGTATTGTGTAACCAATGCATGTGATCTAGTCAGTGGTTGAAAATAGATAATACGTTACTCGAGAACGTGACAATAACTACATGATATTACCATAATATAACAATTCCCAATTTTGGAATTCGAGAGTTTTTTGTGTTTTTTAAAAAAATAAATAGTAAAGAAGAAAAGGTTTAAAAAGAGTTAAATGAAATTCACTTATGCGAAGTTTATTTAAATTTGTCTCTCAATATTAGAATAACATCTTTCCATTTAATTATCAAAATATTTAACCCATCAAACAATTCCAACTTCTTATATACATAGAACTTCAATAAATAAAAAAAAACACTTTCGTTTACATAAATTTTTTCCGAAAAAAAAATCATTTCTGTTCGGCTTCGGAAAAAAGTGAATATGGCCTATACCTAGTCATAAGTAGTGTTTATGGGTCCCTAAAAATGGTCATGAAACAACATGTGTCTAAAGGAGGTATAATGCGGCATGTGTTACAACGATATGATTAAAAAACTTGTATCAATTTGATTTGGAAATACATCAAGTTCTAATCAAGAAGAGTACAGTAAACTTCTGTGTTCCATTGACCCTCGTTATAATTTGGGTTTATCACGTAACCTTTTAATTCTCAAAAGAGAAGTCATATGAAGAAAAGTTGTCGTCCTTATTTATAAAACTCATTTTGAACTAACAAGATAGCTACACTGGGTGAACAAGCATCAATTGTGCAATGAATATAATATACGATAGGTAAAAATTATGATATGTTAATAGTTGACTAAGAATAACGGTTACAAGAATGCTTACCAAATGTAAGAAGTTACAAATGCCCTTCCATCAGATAAACCAAGAATAATGGTGCCTGTGCAACCAGACGTGCAATTAGAATGATTAAGGATGATTTTCATAAGCTACGGACTATCCATCTATTGTACATTTTACAAACAGAGTTTATCATTACCGGTTTGAAGTTAGGAAGTCTTTTGTCAATCGAAACAGGTAAAATTGATAAAAAATTATGTAAGAGTGGCTGTGTTGTTTTTTATTAATGGTAGAATCATATTAAAAGATTCTATAATAGATAATATGAAATATCTTACATAAATGATACTTCAATCTTTAAATAATACTTTAAATTTAATTAATAATCAAAACCATTTTCAATATAATTTAAATGCCTTTAGAAATGTTGTCAACCGCAGCACGTTAAAAAAAATGAATTCTTATAATTAAGTACGTTTTGAATTTGTGTTGCTCTTAGTAAAAGACTTTTTTAAAAAATCTTTACTTTTTAAAATATATATATTTATTTATTTATATAATAAATTCTACCTAATGTAAAGAATGTAAAGTATATGAAAAAGGGATTTTAATATAATAATTTAATTTAAAACCAATATAATAATATTTTAAATATTAATAAGATTATTATATAATAGATTAAATTTCATATATGAACTATTTTGTTAAAAATAAAAATGAGTTTATTTATTATTTGAGTAATTATTTTCGAAGGCGGACCGGAAATTTTCTGGTGATCCTAAAATTTATATTATACTGTATATATATTGTTTAAAAGTTGTGTTCAAAAAATCATATCTAGCATTTTCGTTGCCTTCAAAAATAACTATCCGTTTCTTTATAACATGTTTTTTTTGAAGCTGTTTGATTTTTGAGATTTGAAAGGAGTTAATTATAGAAAAATATTATTATAAAAATATTACAAAAGATTGAATTGTAATACAAAGAGAAACAATATTTTATTTTTTTTTCCAGTAAATAAACATTATTATTTTTTTAATTGGCCAAAGGCATTAAATGCAAGGTTTTATTGATATATATATATATATATATATATTTTATCGCAAACAGGCATTAAATGCGGGACATTTATTAAACATGGTTTATCATCATTACATTAACAATCTTTAGTTACAGAGTAATTAAATTAATTGTAGCCTATCGCAACTGGTCAATCAGCACGCATTGAGACCAAGTAGGTCTTTACATGTTGAAGGTGTTGAATGGCTAATGCCTATTCAAAATGATGAAACTATAGCTGGAGTAAATATTTTTTTATCAGTGTAATTGTTAAAATTTTCTAAAGTATCTAATATTTTTTGGTAAGTGTTAAGAGTTCGTGAGTTGGTGGTAATATTTCTGCTGGGAGTATTAGTTTTTTTCCATTTGATACCTGAGAATGTTGAAGTGGTGGCGGTAGCTGAGCGTTTTTTCCAGATTTTGTAAAGAGTTTTGAGAGAATAATTTGAGATTTCTTCTTTTTTTTGGAGAATGTTGAATGGTGAAGCAAATTTGTTAATGTCAGATTGAGAAAGTGAGATCCGTTGAAATTAGTGAGAAGTAATTGGTTTGCTTCTGTTGAGTTGAGTTTTTCTTTTGGAATATTGATGAAAATCATTGTCTCAAGCTTGTTTCTTTTTTTTCCTAGGGTTGGCAGGCTTTAATGACATGTGAAAATATGGGTTGGGTCTTCTGAATGTATGTCACATCATGAGCATAGATTGTCAGTATAGAGTTGAGGATATCTGTTGTAGAGTTTTTTTCTGGTTGGGAGTTGATTCACCATTAGTTTTATTCTAAAGGTAACTAGGGATTTGAATTTGATATTATCGCTTGTTTTGAGCTCTTTGTTGGATTTGATGATTATGTTTAGCTCGGAAAGTGATTTGGGCTTATAAGTTGCAGACGAACTGAGGAGAATATTAAAGAGATTAGTGTAATAATTTATGAATTTGATTCATTGCGTGATGCTCGTCGCATAGTTGTGGTTAATCAGAGGTAATGTAGTATGGTTGATTAAATATATTGTTAGTATAGGTACTAAGTTATTTTGAGGAAAGATTGTTGAAAACTGATTCTTGTCAAAGACCCAGTTAAGAGTAATTTGTTTGGTGTTAAGTTCGTTATTAATTGTTTTGATGAAGTGACTATAAGGCAATTTAACTTGGTGATTGATGTATTCGAGTAGTTTGGTGTTAAGTTTCTGTACTGAGTAGCATGTAACTGTTGAGAATGGTATAGCTTTAAGAAGTAGTGAGGTTAGAGTAGGCCAAAAAAGAGTTAGAGGATTGGCATTAATTTTGTAGGTAATGGTTTTGAGAGGACTGTGAACAGAGATGTAGTTTTTGTTTATAAAGTATATATTATAGTTAGTGAATTGTGTGACATATAGCTGTGAGAATATAGGTATGGCTACTGCTTGATTGATGGTAGAATTCAGACTGTCTATTAGTTCTTGCAGGTTATTAAGAATAAAGAAGATGTTGTTCCTTTTTGTCATCCAAATAGATTTGAGTTGGTTGATATTAATTGACTTGATGCAAAGTTGACTAGTGCAATTACATTTAGTAAGTTGTTTTGAGTTCGTGGTCAGGAAATAAGGGTCTATAATCATCTGCTGGGGGATTGCATTGAGTCTGGTCTTGATAAGATTAATATTGTTCAAGCTATCTAAATATGCCCAGAATTGAGGTTTGTGGTTAGATATAGATAGGGTGTTTCCAAGAATTGTGTTACTTGATTAGGGTATATTTTTAAATCACAGTGGTATGGGCCCAGGGAAATGAGACCTCAGTATGTGTGTAGTTCTTCCTAGGAGAGTTTGTCACGAGAATTAAATATGTAAGTATTTTGTACTGTTTTGAGATTGGAGTAATATAATGTAAGGGCGATATCTCTGTTAATCTTGGTAAGAAGTCCAATGGATTGTTGGTAGTTAGGAATTGCGAATGGGCAGGGAGAAGGGCAGCTGTTGATGTTATATTTTTTTGCTAATCAAGCCATGGATGTTAACCAAGTTTCTTTAAAATAAGAGGGATCACATATGGAGCATAGCCAAATAGCACATGTTGCTTATATGGATTCTATTTCTTTTTTGATGTAAAGAAGGGTTTTTGGGTTTACGAGTCTGGTAATAAGTAGTTTGATAGCAGTAAGGTCCCTTTTGTTTTCAAGTTTAATAATATTAAGTCCTGCCTGTGAGAAAAAAATTTTGTCAGAAATTGTTCGTTCGACACCCAGTTTGCTTTTGATTGCTCTATTCATCTTAGATTAGAAAAGATTAAGATCTGTTGTTGTTAGATTTGATACTTGGACTGCATAATCTAGTTGTGTCAGTATGATCCAGTGGGATGCTTGTCTTATAATAGACCCATTTCAATCTTTTTGACTTGAGATGGCATTGGTGAAATCATATATCTTTTCTTTGAGTTTGGCTTTGGTTGGAGTTGATGCTGATTTGCTGGAAAGATAGATGCCTAAGTAGTGAATTGCTTCATAATGGGGTTTGGCCTTAATTAGTTCATCTTCAACGTATAGTTCTTGATCACGGAGTGGACTTCTGAAGCTGAGATTTGTGATGAGATCAGTTTTTTTCTTGTTGCATTTGATAGAGTTAAGCTTTAGAAAAGAGCAGAAAATATCTGTGGCATTCTGGAGGGAACTGAGGGAGCCATTTAGTAGGGCGACGTCATCCATATAGGCAAGAATTTTTGAGTATGGTGAAGTGAGACTAGTAATTTAAGTAATCATTGGGTCATAAAAAATAGTCCAGAGAAGTGGAGCTAGGGTTTCACCTTGGTCGATTCCATTATTAGTATTGAGGGGATCGGTTAATCTGTAGTGTGATATTATTTGAAGTTGTCTGTTGTTGAGAAGATTTAACACAAGTGAGATAATTTGAGAAGAAAGTTTGATTCTTTTCATGACTGCATCCAAGCTGAGGAGATTTACAGAGTCAAAAGCTTTAGATATGTTGAAGAAAGAAATCCAGAGTTTCTTTTTAAGATTATTGGCAGCTTCAAGTTCAAATGAGATTATTGAGATTGGTTCTATTGTACTTTGATTTTTGAGACCCGCAAAGTTGAAGCCAGAAAGAATTTTCTTGTTAACGATGATATCTGAAATACGCTTAT